ATGCTTACAAATATTTGTACTATAAGATATGTGTATGTATGTAAGGGAGTGTGTGCGCTTAGCGAAAATGGCGACAAAAGCAAACAAGCGAAAACATGTGTTGCTCTGAGAGCAGAACAGCTTATCTACATCACACGCGTGCGCGCGCTCTCTCTCTCTCTCTTTAATTGTCTCTCTTTGTCTTGATTGCAAAAGCTTTACATGGCATGGGAGCTAAATTTTGTTTACAACTCTTGTGGGGGAATGCGTGTGAGTGAGCAAGTGTGTGTGTAAAACAAAAGCAAAGCTGCGATAAATTATAAATTCAAAACAAAATATAAAAAATAAACAGTTTTGACCTTGAGTTTGGTTAATAACTGTGCACATTTAGCGCTCTCTTAGTTTAATCTTTGTTGATAAAGTTGCCAGCATTTGTATTTAATTTTGTGTTGAAGTTCCAATCTCACACAATTTTATAACATTTAAAGCCCATTTGAATGGTTTATTAAAGCGCTTTCTTCACTTATATTACACATACGTCTAGTTGGTCGCAAACATTGTGCGATCACGACACGAGTCTGTGCTAATATACAAATAAATATGTATGCATGTGTGTATAAAGTTGGCTTCAATATTAATTCAGTAATAATAATATAATGAAGTGAGCTGGTTTCTCCTGTATTTTGCTTTTTGTACTTTGGCCCCTAATTCTTTGTTTTCAGACTGCTTTTCACGTGCCCCTTTCTCAACATTTATTTCTGTTCTGCTTTGTTTATATCCACATGTATTTGCTTAGCTTTATTAAGTAGTATCTGCTGTCTGTTCAGTTGTTAGTTTGCCCAAGTCTGTTCGGTTTCTCATTTACTCGCTGACTGCTTCTTTTCTGTTCTTCTTTGTTATCATATGTTTCGAATCAGATGTTCCAGTATTCCAGCCCAGAGCGCTTATTAAATAATTCGTATACATGTATGTATGTATATATTTTTTGTGTATTTTTATTTAAACATTCCCTCTACTACGAGTATTAAGGCGTATTGTTTGATCGTCCCTTTCCAGCGCAAATCAAATTAAAATGTTTGCTTGTCTTTCAGTTCCATCGAATATTCTATTTCGCTATTTGAATTTTTTCGTTTCTCTTTTGAGCAGCGAATTTGTAATAAAAAAAAATTCTATATTCTATGTACATATTTATGTATATACATACATACATATGTATATAAGCACCCGCCCGTTTGGTTCCTATATAGTAGATATGCCAGTCTTCGGGCTTTTTGGAGCTTTGCCTCGCTTCGGTCTCGTCATTTCATCGACACAAAAATTTGTTTGGCCTTCAAAGCGTTCAGCTACCTTTGACGAATATTAAGCAATTTAGTGGCAATCACACTTACACACAGATACACACACACTAGCGCACACATAAACATAACATGTGCGGTCACAGAAAAGGAAATAACAATAATGTAAAGAAACAAACATACAAATCACTTAGCTTAAGTAGAGTTTTTGTTGCTGTTAAAAAAACGTTTGCTGGCTCGTTCTGCTGCCATTTGTTTTATTACGAGTGTATTCGTTGACCTTCAGGAAAGGGTATTTACAGCCATATTGAGCCAATTGTGTTGCTATGTTTTGTAACTATGTATATACATACATATATTTATATGTATGTATAGTGCTATCACTAGGGGCCAAAGAGTAGTTCTCATACAACTGAGATAAGTGTTACTGTAAGATATTGCACACATTTATAAAGCACTATATTTTATGGTTTGTTTTTTTTCTTTATTTAAATTTAAATTTAAATATAAACATTTGTAAGCAGTATTTATAGATTGTTCAGACATGGCAGCAATGATTCAAATGTCCACCACACACTATCAAGTTATTTTTATTTCCGAATGCTGTTCCTCAATTATCAAATTATTTATTTATGTACATACATATGTATGTGCGTATGTTGATGAATGTGTAAGCAAAAGAAGGCGTGGCTCTTCTTAATCAGCATACATACATACATACTTAAGTGGACGGTCAGAATTAGAAACACCCTTTACTCTGCATACTACTTGTATATACTACAAGGTATGTGTTTCAATAGGAACCACTTTTATTTTTTCTTTTAAATGGGCTGTACTATCAAATTTTTCCATTCCATTCTCTTTATTTCTTTATTGATTACATATAGTAAGTATGTGGGCTTGTGAACGTATGTATAAGAGTAACTTTTTCGATTGGTATCCTTGGAGTGATCTTTTCAATTTCAATTCAGAAGTCACGATATGTGTCTGGGTGTTGAAACCAAATGCGATTCGAACTTTACGAGGCACAAAATTTCTTTAAAAATGGTCTGAATGCAATGTTTCTAGTTGTTCATCAAAGATTTTCTAGCACCGATTTATTAATTTGCTTAAAGTGTTGTTCATCAGTTGACGTTTTTGGTCTTCCAGGATGTGGACTGTGAGTGGCTTCCACACCTGCTCCACCCTTTTTGAATATCTTATGTCATCCAAAGCCTGTTTATTGAAATAATATTATAATTATTTACCTATAACCATAAAAGTCATACAAATGTTACCAGGAATTCTATTTTTATGCCAAAAAAAAAAAACAAGAAAAAACAGAGGCTATAGAAATTAACACTCATTATGGATATTTTATTTATCTGAACTCTGTCGTCATTTTTTCACATCTTTCTTCTTATTTCACTTGCGTTCTGATTTCTGGAAATTTGTCAGAAATTCCCAATTCTTCTGGAGCGTATTTATGGGTTTCTTTGTGTTTTGAAAAGCTTGTTTATTAACGTCATTATAATGTATGTGTATACTGTACTGGTACAGCCCTACTATATATGGCGAAATTAATTTACACCTCCGGCCAAACAATACAAGATGTTATAATCGCATGCATGCAATTTTCTCATAATTTATGATCGGCAAATAACCAGAAATTTCTTTTGTAAACAAACTCATTAATATTTATTGGCACTTAAGACACCTTCCGGCCTCCCCTCCCCTCCCCCCGCCCCCAACAACCTGCAGCAGGTAGCCGATTCGACCAATCAGTCGAACAACGTTTACTAATTTTGGCATAGTTTTTTTCTATTTTCTTTCATTTTCCCTCCTATTCTTTGGCTTAGTTTGTTTTGTGTTTTGATCCCACTCTACTATTCTCGGGCACAAAACAAAAATGTGGCGTTGTTTTGGTTTTGTTTTCGTATTCCTGTTCTTATTTTGCTTTCGAATTTTGCGCACAAAGCAGTGAGTTGACAGAAATGGTTTTGTTTTGATGCATGTACATATGTATATTATATCTAGCACTATAGCTATACCTATACCTACATATCTATACACTTATATAGATAGATATGTTTACCATTTCATTGTTGGACGAAAACAAAAACAAGCCTCAATAAATAACTGACAAGCTAGAATAACAAAGTACGTATTTTAAACTATTATTTGAAATGGATGTAATCAATTGAAGAACTCATGTATCTAAACAGTTGTAAAAAATTCATAATACTAATCGTTCATAAACATTGATAAAAAAACAAAATAATAATAATAATTGATAATGGCAGACAATAAACTAAAAACAATAGAACATTTGCTTAAAGACAGGTCAGGAGTTGACAAGATTACTTTCAAGAATACATAAGCAGATCTTTTCTGACTATAATCCACTCCTGCTGCTATCAAACCCATCCAAAAATGAAACTATTAAAATATGCATATTTAATTTATTTTTAATTTATATTTATCGTTATTTCATAGCGTTCCGGAAAATATTTTGACAAGCTTAAAACAGAACTAGGTAGGTGGCGATCGATAGGGATATTTTTAAAAAAGCTCTTCAGATCTTCACTTCGGCCAAAGGCCATCTATTTTCTAGGTTATGTTAATAGTTTTAACTGTTTATATAAATAAATAAAAGATAATAATTAGCTGTTATTTAATTTACAAAATTGATTAGTAGACATAAAGCAGTTCAATTAAAGAAACAGTTAATTCTTTTCAAACATAAAATGTTTAGTACTTGTAGACACAAAAATTCATTAAGAACTCCTTAGAAATAATAGTTAGTTCATTTTATTTATGGGCTTTATTAGAGTTGATCCGCAGTGTGTGTTCCAATTCCCAGCAGTGTTCTTGCTGAGTCGTTAATATAACCATAATATCGATTGGTTCTGCCCTAGAAACAACTTGATCATTTTTCTGCAAGTCTTAAACTTTCCACTTCGTAACACTGTGAAATTATAACGGTAGAACTCGGCTTGTGCAAGAGGTACGAATGCATTTTTGTGAACCTTTGGCCACGTGCCAGGCATACACGTGCTGTCATTAATCAAGACAGACTGGCAATCGGAATGATAGACAACAATTACTTGCTTGGATTCAGTTGGGTTGGGCTGGGCTGGGTTGGGTTGGGTTATGCCATCAGAGTTCCGGCTGCGACTTGGTTCCAGATAACAGTCTCTCAGTTCAGCCGCATTAGAATTAGGTTTGTGTTGTCCGCGAAGGCAGACAACGGCACAGTTTTATGGATTATCAGTGCAGACCAGACTTGGAATGGCAATGCAAGTACGAGCATATATGTACTGGCATGTGCAATAAAAAATATGAGTATAGTGAGCGGCGGAAATGTGGAAATGTGTCTCGACACTGCAGCTGGCGGCCTTGAAGGTCGTCTAGCCGTTTGTCGTAGTCGTTGTTGTTGTTCGCTATAGTTATGGTTATGGACTATTTGTCTTGCCAATTTTATGTTCAACACAAGCTAGAATCTCATAATGGAGATATTTCTACACTCGAGAAAAAAGGGCGAACGTTCCAAGTCGTCGGGAATGTGAGACCAGTCGGTCTTACACAAATTTTCGATGTACTTAGGTTCTACTTAGCCCGATAAATAAATCAGTTATTAGCCAAAAACATAACGATAGTTAAGTTAGAAATGTTATTGAATATTATATACACTTTCATAAATATTATTGAATATTATATATTATATATTTCCCTTTTATTTTGCAGGCACTGGGTTTGTCTTAAAAGCAGCTGCAGGCGCAGTTGCGCATGCGCTTAGGCGCAACAACAACAACAACAACACCAGCTAGTAGTAGCAACAACAATAGGAACACACACACACACACGTACAATGACAGAAAATCAAATGTATCCCATGTCGTCAGAATTCTTTGACACATCATCGAACAGCAGCAGCAATCCTTTGAAATACGATCTATATTCGTTTGGGAGCAGCAGTTTTGGCAGCTCTGTTGTTGTTGGGTCGCTGCCGACGCTTACAATAAACACAAATTATAATACAACAACACTTGCCGGCTCAGCAGTAACGTCGCCAGTAACAGCCACATCAGCAGCAACTATTGGCAGCAATGTTATGCTGAGCACTGCGATCAGCATACCACGCAGCAACAATCCAAACCACAATCATCATCATCCCTACCACCACCAGGACAACACGCGTCATCATCTGCCCAGTCCCAGTCCCTTGCACAGCATGGCGTCGAGCACACAACAGCAGCAGCAACAGCAACAACAACAACAGCAGCAGCAGCAACAACAGCAGCAGCAGCAACAACAACAACAGCATCATTTGCAGCTGGGCGAGCTGTCGGACTTTGGTTTGGATGCTGCCTCGTTGTCGCCCACCTTGTTGCAAGATGTCAGTCTCAGTGCCGCCTCGCCACTCAGCCAGACCCTCTACAATGGCAACATATCGAGCTATTTTGCACCCGACCTCGCCTCACCGCTGGGCGGCAGCAACGAGCTGAGCATTAGTCTGAATGTCGCCGACAATGCTCTGCTCAGCGGTTTGGGCAGCGATGGGAGTGGCTCGCATGTGCACGATGCCAACAATGGGCTGCTCTTCGAGGCGCCCCATTCGAACACCATGTGGAGCGACATTAGCAGTGCCATTGTGAATCCGAAACACGAGCCGTTCAGCGTCGACGACGACTACATTTTTCCCAACGACAAGGCCGAGATACAGGCGCTGGCTGACCTCAATGCTGGCGAATTCTTCGATGTGATTACCAACTTTGAGGACCTCTTGCCCACCAGCGCGGTGGCGCAAGGTGTTAACTTTTTGCTGTCACCCCAGCCGAGCAGCAGTGGCAATAGTTTGCCGCAGCTGAATAGTCCTGGACAGGCCTCACCTGTGGGCCCGCCCATGGAGTTGCTGCAGCAGCAGAGCTTGCCACAGTTGCAAACGTTGCTGACGCAACAGCAGCAGCAACAACAACAGCAACAACAGACACAGAATCTACAGCCAAGTTCCTCAACTAGTCCGTACGAAATTTATCACAGCACGCCAAATAAGCCACAACAGCAGCAGCAGCAGCAGCAACAACAACAACAACTGAGTGCCGCCTTCTCTCCAGGCAGTCAGCCGTCGCACTCGCCACTGCAACAGCAACAACAACAACAACAACAGCAGCAGCAACAGCTGGGTAGCAGCATCACGCCGCCACCTCCGCCACACGCCAATCGCTCGCAATTCCAGCTCGTGAAGTCGCGCAACATGCAGGAGCTGCTGAAGAAGGGCTTGTCGAGCATCTCACCGGATGGCTCGATGCTGGGACAGTCGGTGCCCGGCGCCAGCAATCTTCTGATGAGCGGCAATGCCCTGAGTCCGGGCAGCAGCAGCGGTTTCGGTAGCGCCGCCTCCGGCAACAGCAGCGGCCAGGTGGTCGTCACCGCCAGCAGCGTTCGCAAATCCTTTGCCTATCAGGGTGCCGCCGAAAGCTCCCCATTGTCCCGTCTGTCCTCGTCGGCGCCCACCCATCTGGGCTTGGAGCACATTTGGATGCGCCGCGAACCACGTCAGCATTTACTCTCAACCGGCTCGCTGGCCGAGGCCGAATCTTTCTCTTCGCTGAGCACGGGCAGCGTTTTGTCCCCAGATGGCATTGATTTCTCGCAGGACGACGACGACGATGCCTCCAGCGAGAACAGCGACAACTACGATGACTTCTCCAGTGACAATGGTGTGTAGAATTCATAAAAAAGATAACAGTTTTTTTCACGTCATCTACTTTCCCGCTTGCAGGATCTGGCGATGAGGACGAAACACGCACATCTACGCCCAATCAACTGTCCTCCAGCAAGGGCAAGGAGCGCTACTTCTGGCAGTACAATGTCCAGGCCAAGGGACCCAAAGGCAAGCGTTTGGTCTTTCAGTCCAAGCTAGAGGATCCACATGTGCTCAACGAGGTTACCGATCCAGTGTTCAGTCCCACTTGCTCAGTACGCGGCATAAAGGTGTACAAGGTACGCTTTCTCACGGACTTATCCATTGAATGGCACTCCAATATTTTTCGATTCTCATCATATTTACAGCACAGCGGCAAAGCTCGCAAGGGCGATGGCAACGATCTGACACCCAATGCCCGAAAATTGCACAACATTGGCAAGGAGCTGGACAAGCTGAGTCGCACCATCAACGACATGACACCCGTCTCGGAGCTGCCCTTCAATGTGCGTCCCAAGTCGCGCAAGGAGAAGAACAAGCTGGCCTCGCGTGCCTGTCGCTTGAAGAAGAAGGCACAGCATGAGGCCAATAAGATCAAGCTCTATGGTCTCGAAATTGAGCACAGTAAGTAGTACGGGCATTATATAGTGCAGTTATAGAAGAGCAAAAAAATCTCATGCTATAACTATCAAATTATTCACATTACTTAATGGGTATACATACTAGCAAGTCCTAGCCTTGAATGTATTTAATGTCCGCGAATGTCCGTCTGTATGAACCCCGATAACATTTGAATCGTATTAGCTAGGGACTCTTAATTCGCTATGCTGACTTGTCTTATTCATACGCAGAGCAAGTTTAACACAAACCATGTATAACTTTTAATTTTTTCGAATGTCCGTCTGTATGAACCTCGATAACTTTTGAACCGTATTAGCTAGGGACACTTTATTTGTTTTCTATGTTATATCAGTATTAATTACACATTTGTAATCGTTTTTTCCCCCCTTTTGTTGCAGAGCGTTTGATCAACGGCATTGCTGAGCTGAAACAGGCACTGGCCCTTAAGTATCGCGCCCAAAGCATGGGCGAGTCTACTGAGGAGGTTGATAATCAAATAAAACGCATTTACGCCACGGCTTCATGTAAGTCTAAATTGTAGCACAACAATAATTCTCCTAATAGAATACTAATGTTGTTGTTTCTTTTTTGCAGCTGGCATTCGTGTGGCAGGAGGGTCCACGGACTTCGTCAACAAAGTTCTAGAAAATATGCGCGGTGGCCTGCCGAATGGGGGTCTGGAAGAGCTGCGCAAATCATCATAAGAACGAGGACCAGCAACGACTAAGAATCGCAAGAAAATATGATTTCTAGTGTTTAAGACGAGGAGGTTAGGGTTAGGGAGGGCTAGAGGGTTAGAGGGTGGCAACCAGAAGCATGAACATGAGTCTAGACATAAAAACAGGATATCTTTATGAATGCATGAGTGATATGTAATATGAAATAACAGAGAAAAGAAATGTAGGTACACTGATATAATAACACTGATATACAACTGTGATTAAAGGCCTGGCGTAGCGCAACAAATTGTGTGAAGTGAAAGGATAATTCGGCCACAAACCAGAACTAAAGCGAAATGGAAAACAATTCCTTTGTAAAAAAAAAAACGAAACCTCAAGCAAAATAAACCAACACCCACACACTCACACACACAAACAATTGTAAAGAAAGAGGCAACCAATAACTAAGAAAGAAAAAAATAGAAATACAAATACAAATACTAGCTGTTAAGTTTGAAGAAAACGAGAGAAGAAATTGGGAGTAGATGCGCATGCGCAGCTCTCTGTTATTAAGAATGGAGGAATGAAGGAAGGAGCGCGTCTAGACGGTAGCTACCAGTTTTACCTGCTTATCAAATAGGATTATCTTCAGCTTAAATTTGGAAACCTAAAATGCGCGCACTGCGATTTATTTGCTAGACTTTAAAAGATATAAAAAAAGAAACGATAATATAACTACATACTAGTACACAGCTGTATGTAATTGGTTCAATGTTGTAGCCTTTAACTCTTTTTAATTAATTAATTGCGTCGTTATGATGAGAGCTTTTATAGCATTATTTTTTAAAAATTATGATCGATATATGTTTGTTAGTGCGTTTTATGTAATCTTTAAGTTTTTGTTTCAACTTGCATGTTGGCATTATCCCCATTTTTTGAATTACGTTCTATGCGGCTCCTAAGTTCTGGCAAATAACACATACATATAATACCAATATATACCATATATACATATATATACTTCTATTTACATATTTTACTCTACATACATACATGCGTGGTGATATAATTTTAATTTTGTTTGCAATTGCATTAATTTTGTGTTAAGGCGAAAGAACTTGGCTTGAGAATTGCAGCGAGTTTTGCCTTAAAAGTCAGTTTCAATTTACTTTAAGTTCCAAAATTTGGCACAACAATTAATTCACTTCAATAAAAAATAAACAAACTTTAGTTTTAAATTCAATTGCGGGTTTCTTTGCCAGCACACACACCTTATTTTTATAAACAAAACTATATACATACTTATATATAAAAGAAAGAACCAAACAAAACAAGCCTACACATTTTGAGTTTTATTATTAATTTTAGATTTTGAATGTTTTGCTGCTTCGATGCTAATTTTGTGATATTTGTATTCAGTTCTACACTTATATTCTTAAAAGAGAGGGGGGTTGCCCCCCAAAGCGTAAGCCTTAAATCTGCTCGAGTTGTGTTCAGTTGATATCAAAAATCGATGCGTTTAAAAAAAGAAAGAAAGGAAGGAAGAAGAGAAGAGAAAAAGTACATTCTTTTGTTTTGTTTGCTATTTATATGTATGTCACACGAAATATAAAATACAAACACATACAAAGTGATTAAAGTTTAAAACTTAGGCATTAGCTCACACACACATTCTAGGTTTAAACAAATGAATGTTTAATGAAATTGTTTTGAGCGCAAATATTTGGCCATCAGTTTTCTAGGGTTTTCAAATTCAAAATGTTAGAGCTTAGGGTTTTTTCAAATTGTCTAGGTGATAGGAATTCAAAATTACAATTAAAATTACGATTAGACACAGACACACTCACACACACATACAAAGTACAAGCGCAAGTTTAGCTTAAGCTTATAAAATAAAACGAACGAAAAACGTTTCTTAAACTATCAACTATATAATACATATACTATATATGTATGTAGTACTTGTATTACAATATGGAAAACGAAGCAGCGTTGAAGCAAGCACGACAGTTCCTCAGTGTTTAAAATGAATGATTTAAACCATACATACAGACAAACTATATATGTATATCTATGTATATATATGTATGTAGGTATGTGTATGTCTAATCTTTAAAACGCAAACGAAACAATTTACATATAAATGTTAAATGTGTGCTTTATATAAATGTGCTTCATATATATTTATATAATTATGTTAGAGACTAGTGTTAGGCCATGGGTTAAGGATGCGAAACAGCTGAACCGACAAATTGAAAAAGTAAGCGAACTACCTCAAGTTGAATTACATACAGTTTCACATATATAATATGTATATATATAGATACATATATGCTTGTATACATACATACATACATACATACATACATACATACAAGTATATAGGCTTGGCCAAGGCGCTGCAAATTTCTTCATATACAAACTGGTATATAACAAGCAGCAAGCAAACATACATACATATGTATATATATATATATATATATATATATATATATATATATATATATATATATATATATATATATATATATATATATATATAGATATATATATATATATATATATATATATATATATATATCTATATATATATATATATATATATATATATATATATATATAATATATATATATATATACTTATATATTGAGAGAATACAAATTCAAATGAATAATTTACTTTGGCAATTACTGATATAAATACAAATACAAAACAAATACAAATAAAAACTAAAAGCAAAACCAAGAGCCTGAGTCATGTGTCCATTTATGAAATAAAATTCAAGAAGAAAACATTATATTATTATTATATACATATAAATATTTTTTAAACTGCAAGCTATAATTATTGTGCATAATTATGTATTTTCAAAATATTAGGATAACAAATCAGAGAGGGAGGCAGGGAGAGATAGGGGAGAAAATAAAAGGCGTATAAATGCCACATAGCCGGACACAATCGCTATGAAAAAATCCAATTCAATCTACAAAGATTTATTAAATATTTAAACAATTTCTGTCCGTCTGTCATCTGCTCTGAAAAATAAAAGCTTCCGAGGTATTGTCATTAATTACAAAAAATGAAATTAATTTTTACTGAATTGGATTTTTGCACTTAAACATATGAAATTAAATATTAAATATTGTGTATTATTAAAATTAACACAACAGCAACAACAATAACAATTTAATTAATGTGGTGTCCAAAATACAACAACATTTGTTTTAAACGAGCATTATACATAAATGTATAAAAAAACCCAACAACTGTGTTGAAAAAATTGCAAATTTTGTATGCAAATATGCATTAAGCGAAGAGGAGCATAAGAATTATGTATAAAAACAACAACAACAACAAGCGCAACATTAAAATATTTTATTATACGAAACAAAAAAAAAACAAATTATTAAGTACACTTATAAATTACATGAACTGTGCATGTAAAAAAAAACAACAACAACATTTTCTATATAACCAAATTAATTATTAAAATAAACGGTTAAAACTGAATCGATAAACGTGCATCCATTGGTCTGGGGATCGGGAGGTTGAGGTGACAAAAAAATGTGGAACGCTTCACGATTTTGCGTGTCATCCTTGCGCAGGGGCCATGCTAATCTTCTCTGTATCGTTCCAATTTTAGTATATGTTCTGCCGAAGCAAGAACGAGTGTAACCCAAAATACCTTGTATTTATATGGTGATTTCGATGAACAAGTAGTTGGGAATTATAAGGAAACGAAAAATAAAAGTGTTTGTGGAGCCACCTGGCGTAATTCGGTAAAGAAATAAAAGGAATTGTTGTTATAGCACACTTCCGTAATTTATGAAACTCAAGCATATTCATTCCCACAATTTTTAAAACGTTTTGTTTTTGTTAACTACAGTTATAAGTAGTTAACGTATTTTTTGTACAGAATTGTAATTAAACTTGTTAGGACATTATAAATAATACAGAACTATATGAAAAATATGACATTTAATTAAATATGGAGATACCTTTATTTGTAGAAATTTTATAAACAAATTTAATAAAATAAAGTTGAATTAGGGCTACCTTTTTACTAAAAATAAACGGTTTACGCTGCTGAATCGATAAACGTGCATCCATTAGTCCGGCGATTGGGAGGTTGTGGTGACAAAAAAATGTGGAACGCTTCACGATTTTGCGTGTCATCCTTGCGCAGGGGCCATGCTAATCTTCTCTGTATCGTTCCAATTTTAGTATATGTTCTGCCGAAGCAAGAACGAGTGTACCTCAAAATACCTTGTATTTATATGGTAATTTCGATGAACAAGTAGTTGGGAATTATAAGGAAACGAAAAAATAAAAGTGTTTGTGGCGCCACCTGGTTTTGTTAACTACAGTTATAAGTATTTAACGTCTTTTTATGTACAAAATTGTAATTAAATTTGTTAGGACATTATAAATAATACAAAACTTTATAAAATGACATGACATTTCATTAAAAATGGAGATACCTTTGTTTGTAGAAATTTTAAAAACAAATTTAATAAAATAAAGTTGAATTAGGGCTACATTTGTTTCACAATGTAACAGGCACGATAGGTGGAGCTAATAAAACACCCTAGATAGCATCTGGTGACATTTGGGTTCAGTCTCTAACAGCTGTTGAAGATCAGCTCATTTTTTTGCGTTTTTAAGCACTGTTCAATGATAAGAAACTTTGTAAGCAATACATGTGCCGGCGGATTGTTAAATTAAAAAAAAACATGTTTTAATAAACAGTAGACGCTCGGAGAGATTAATATTCAAGCTGGTATGTTTGATATAATATCCATACGAGAATAATTTAAAAATAACACTTAAAGCCCTTGCTATTTCAGCCATAATTCTCATCTAAGCAGTAAGCTCGTTCAACTGTTGTATCTCTATATGTATGTATGTATATATGTAGATATACATATGTATTTATATATGTACATAGATTCATGCATTTATTCAAATGGCTGTGATTGACTTTAGTGTTGAGATCAACCCTAAGTCGCGCTATTTTTACCGGACTGTTAAGGAAACGTTGAAAGGCCCGCTGACTGGGCCGAAAAAAGGTACAAGTCCCACGGTAGTCTTGACGTTATCAAAAAGGCATAAAGGGCCAATTAAAATTGTGTGTCAATTGGTGCAAGCATACAAGGAACACAATGGAACACGTCTCGTATCGGCCAATACCTTACAATCTACAAGTAAAAAAAAAATTACCAGTTCCGATCTCACTTTTGTGCCAGTCGAGGAAAAAATGGTCGCTACAGATAAAAGCCGGAAGAGGTTTCAATTTGAATTGACCAGCTTTTGCATTATAAAGACGAATAAAAATGTTGTAAAAGAACATTTTCCCAGAATGAAGGAAAAGATTACTCCCGAATTGGTGCAATTACCGGAAGACAGTGTGATAACCCAAGATTTTGGCAAGGATGAGACGGTAAGCATTTTCAATCAAAATCAGCTTCACATCGATAACTTGAGCTTATATTTTTGTAGATGTATCTGGCATTTACGGTCTTCATAGAAAAGAGCAATGGGGAAAGTGAAACTCGTACTATATTTTCGGAGGGCATACGCCATGCCAGCTCAAAAGTCCACATTAACCGCTGTTGCAACTCCTTAATACCCTTTGAAGGCAACGTCGCTATACATCTATTACTAAACGACGTAATATCCGATTATTGTATATCTATTCGCGATAAAATTGGCAATTGGCATTCGGAACGCATTCGGCCCATTGCAAAGGATAAGTCACATAAGTTACTCATCTATAAAGCTCCAAAATATGGACTAAGTGGTGCTACCGATCCTAAAGAATGCCAACTGATACTTTATGATGAGGAGAATAATGAAGCAGATTCAGTGGACATTAAGTACGTGGGATACCAATGGGATAAACCAAGTGGCCAAGTACCGATTCTTGAAGAACGTGCCACTACTTCAGGTGCCAAACACAGCCTAGAAACGAATAGGAATGATACAACAGCAGTAGGAGAAGCCCCTCCGAAACGACCACGGCTACAACAGCTCCAGCTCCAGGATGAAACGAATATTGAAAATCCGGGGACGGAAGATCTGTCGGCAAAAACCCCAGAAGAAGTTGTCAAATTTTTCGAGGCCATAAAGGAAAACGATACGCTTTCAGAGAAATTGGATGAATTCTATCGAGATCAGGCCTGTGATAACGAAGATAAATTGGAAGAAATTCTGAATCATATTTACTCTTTGCTGGAACACGGAAATGTGAATGTTGGGGCGAAATTTGAAAGACTCATTGCCTTACTCATTGGTGGAGGCTATGGCAGAGCGGGAAGTACAATGATGTCTAAATTCATGGAATGTGTCAAAAAGTACCTGTCCTTGCTACTCCAAGTTGAACGTAAATTGCTTTTGAATCAAGTCTGGTCGCTTTGTCTGAGTCGTGAGCCCCAACCACATCCCCACGCTGCAGCAGTCCTTCTTCAGTTCTGCGATGATTTTGTGCAAGAATTGAGAATGGAATGGGCCTGCAGCTCACAACTAGATACGGTTCTACAACTTCTTTGCATGTCAAATGATCCCCGAGAGCACAGCTCGGCTGTTGAGGTGATGAAGAAACTAAGGGTAGCCGTACTCCAAACAAATGAAGAAAGCGAGTTGGTGGATAATATGCGTGCCAGCTGGAATTGGTCTCCTGTGCTATACAATAAAGATTGGCTCAACTTTATCGAGGCGTTGGAGATTTTTGAGCAGCACGATGAGAGGCTACCCATAGATAGCGACGCGCTATATTATATTATAAGCTGGAACGAAAGTGATTACAGAATGGGCTGGTTGCGAGTACTGTACGTGAACATCTTACGCAACAAGGATAAGATCTGGGCGTTGTACTATACGTTGTCGTATATTGGAAGCAATCTTTCAATTGAAAAACTGTGTCGTATTAAAATACTGCGCGAAGTTTTAGAGGCCACCAACAACATACAACTTTACAATGATGAAAAGTGCGATGAGCTAACATTTTTAAATACGTTCTTCAAGCCGTATAGCAGTATCGAGCAGTTCCTGGAAGAATTTGTGAAAATACAATGGAATTCTGTGGCACTGCTATATTGGTTGCAGCTCCTGAAGCAGGACGAATTGAAAAAGTGTCTGATTATTGGAAGCGAAGACTTACTTAAGTTGTGCGCATGCGTACGCTCCGTTCAAAATTCCCGGCTGCGATGGCGAGCGATACGGTTAGTGGGCGAAATCTTTCTGGTAGGTTTCTGGTGACATTGATTCTATTTTCCGAGTGCGTAAGTTCATGCCTTCATGGCTGGCCTTCCCTTCTTTCAATTTGCTTAAATAAAGATACAGAATAAAAGAGCATTTACATTCTTCTTTCAGGAAGATCCAATATCTATAACGCAGTATCTCCTATGCATCGAGACGTTGCTAAAGCCGGGTGACTATTTCAACGGCCTTGGGAAGTTGCAGTCGTTGATAAAATGGTATATCAAGTATAAACGGCCCATTGATAACTTAAGTAAACGTTGCTACGATATAATCGAAGGGAACGTTAACATTAACCATTATTCGAGCATCCTAAATAAGCTCAGAATCCAGCTGAAGAGTCAGCCAAAGGAGCGACACGGGCTGTGGCGATTTCTGCTCGTATTCAAATGGATCGAAATGCACGGCACTGAAAAGGAGGAGTGCTTGGAATTCTTGCGCACAGAATACGACCTGAATGTTGCTTTATTGCACAGATGTTCAGATCTTCAGCTGTTGCAAGCCCATTTGCTGGACAAGTTGGGTTGTGAGACTGATGAGGAAAGAGAGTTGGTGCTGGAGAGCAGTGTCGATTTGTTTGTCCAACAAAATGCGGAGGAATGGAGTCAAGTTATAAATCCATATGATCTTTTGACAACGGGAAAAGTGGAAACGTTTAAGAAACTATCAGAGCTATTGGCAGCCCACACGGGTCGCTTAGAAGACGAAAGGATTCTACCACTGCTAGTTGATTTGCTAAAAAAGTTTTGGGCCCAGGAGCATTTCACATTGCCGTGAGTAGGAAAATAGTCAACCAAACTCCTTACTCTATTCATATGGATTACAGGGTACCGCCAATACTGGAATACGCAAATAAATATCTGAGCGTTGAAGAAAACCACTCGCTGATTTGGAAAATATGGGCCACTGATTTTGACAATTGTTGGTTGGTGGAGAATATTTTAAAGTATGCCAAGTGTATACCAAATACATTTTACATAAAAGGCCTGCTTTTCGGTGGGGCCGTTGAAGGAGAGCAAAGGTAAGGAAATGTTGAGATATATATTCGTTAATACCGTTGTTTATTCTAATTTTTACCAGCATTGAGGAAGCCTATGAATACGATCTAATTCTGAGGGCGCATGACGGACACACTCTTAGGATCAACCACTATGTTCAAATTCGAAATGCTTTTTGCGATAACTCTCCAAAAGTTTTGAATCCGCTTCTCGACGAATTGTTGCGAATAAATAACGATAGAGCACTAAGCGATCCCAGTTATGGACGACACTCCCAAGAGCACAGAATAAAAATGCGAGCCGCCAGAGCTCTGATCAAGTTGACAAAAAATACAGGATATTTATCGGAGGAGTTATGGACAGCATTGTTGGCGTCGAATGAGCATCTGAATATCACCTATATGTATGAGTTGTTAGTGGGTCGTCAGCTGTCCAATTTAAAGCCGTTATTGGAGCGAATCCGAAAACTATCCACCTATCAGCGGCACCAACAGATATCCCTCATAAGTGTCGCCCACATCCATTGCATGCTGAACTTTATGGAATTGGACATGGGGGATCTGCAAGAGCTCATCGCTTTACTCTTGAATACAAATTATACACACCATAAGACTTACACTTTTTCAAAATTAATAGTACACAGACTGGCGCTAAAAAGTACAAAATTCAGGTAAAATATACGAGTATTTAATGGATTCTTAAATAATTTAATAATATATTATTTTTCACAGTATACAATTACCAAATGTTGCCAGTTCTATTGAGGAAATTGAAAATGAAGATTTTAAGATTTATGAGCCAGAAGCTAGACTTCTGCTGCCTGATATTTCCCTGACTCAGGGGTCAGCCGATTTTATTCTATATATGACGCATTCGCCTGTTAATGAATACGATAGAATTGAAGTTGATATTCATTTTTACGCAGAACTTAAAGAAAAACTCGACGATGCCAAAGACATGTTTGAAAACTAACCATCTAAGGTATGAAATTTGTTATATTTGTAGTTACACACGTACCTGCATGTCCATATAGCTATATAATCGAATTGCATTTCGAATGTATCCCAAGCAAAGCTTTATTTTAATATTTATCTAAACAAGTCACAAATGGTTGGGCTTGTACTTAAAGTATTATTGTTTTTTATATTTTTGTAATTAAAAAATAAAAATGTCTTAAATGTGGAAACTTGTTTATTCCCTGTAAATGAAGTGTACAAAGGTATATTGTGCAAATTGAAAAGGAGTTGATTTAGCCATGTCTGTATGTCTGCTCGTACGTCCGTCCGTATGAACACCTTAATCTCAGAGATTATAAAAGCTAGGGACATCAAATTGCATACAGCTGCCCTATATTTGTATTTCAAACTTTTCATGCCTGTTCTTGTTGCTGCTTTGACTCACAGACACACAGATACAGAATTTATTTACGTGAGTTCAAATCCCTAAGGAGGTATAATCGATCGAAATGGTTTTTTTTCTATTTATATTTCAACTTTGTTTATTTTTGTAAAATTCATTTAAATATTCCACGTATAGGTAAAGTGTATTTCAAAGTCGTTAGCTTTTCCACTTGATTTGGTGTTATATTTATGTAATTCAGCAATCAAGTAAAAAGTTTTTAATAATATACATATGTATGTAATTTTTTGGAAAATTTAAAGTCTATCGATTTGAATACATTTATAAGCATATCTCGAAAAAAATGTAACCTTCGGGCACAGAAGGAGCTTGAAGATGCCCCATAAAGTATATAATACTTGTATACATTATGTACATATGTTCTTAATCAAGCATGACGAGACAAGTTGACTCTGAAAAATGCCTAAATTGTCTGATCAGTTCAAATCTTGGATGAAAAGCCAGGGACTTATTTTTGTTTCACTTTTAAAACACACTCAATTCGATTTATTTCGCTACGAATCAATAAGGACAATAAAAGTCAGAGGCACGTCTAATAGTAGAAGGTAAAAACAATTTTGAAAGTAAATTATACGCTTTATAATAAATACAAATACAAATACATAGATATTCCTTCCGTGCATTTAATTATGCTGTGCTGTTCAAGGATTTGGTTTCTTCACTCGTGCTTCTGCTCAGGTTGCAAATCGAACCATGTGTTCAGGCCCGTGTTCTTTATTATTTCTCCATTATCCAGAGGTACTTTGAGCTGAAAAAAATAAAGAGAGCGATTAATTTTTGGACGCAAAGGGAAGAGCACAAAAAAATGTGGAACGCTTCACGATTTTGCGTGTCATCCTTGCGCAGGGGCCATGCTAATCTTCTCTGTATCGTTCCAATTTTAGTATATGTTCTGCCGAAGCAAGAACAAATGATTACCGACATATCCGTTATTTATACAACATCTACCCCGAATGTGAGGTTGGGAATTACAAAAAAAAAATATACAAAAAAATAGATCATATAGGGCGATCATTTTTTGGACGCAATGGGAAGGACACAAAAAAATGTGGAACGCTTCACGATTTTGCGTGTCATCCTTGCGCAGGGGCCATGCTAATCTTCTCTGTATCGTTCCAATTTTAGTATATGTTCTGCCGAAGCAAGAACAAATGCTAATCGACATATCCGTTATTTATACAACCACTACCCCGAATGTGAGGTTGGGAATTACAAGCATTTCATGCAGCAGCAACCCTCAGGTAGCTGGCTGTCTAGGGGTGGTTAGGGCTCTAGCTACCTACCATGCCAATGATGGGACTGCCGCCGGACAGAAAACCCTTCTGCGTGCACACCGTGACCTCGAGCTCGGTCTGCATGAGCTCGGCAACGGATATCTGGTACTCGAATGCGGCATCATAGACGGGGTTGCAATTGTCCTTGATCACACTGGTCTTGCGCTTGGAGTCTTTGCTGCGACCCGGCAGTAAATAGAGCTTCACATATGGATCAGGTATATTCGAGGGATCGCGCAGCGGTATGTTCATTATCTTGTGTATAGTGACTCCGAGTGTCTGGCGACTTTCGCTGTAGCGTATAGAGAGCTGTATACGGCCCAGATTGTGCTCGCCACTCGTTGAGGTAGTTTCGGGAAAGCGATGGGTCAGCAACGAGCCGGCCATCTCACCCACGGCCAGGGCGGCTGTGTATGGTTTCTCCAGGGGCGTAGACGCGGATAGTGATGGGGAGATTTTCGCTGCTACGGGTTGCTCCTCTTCGCCAATGGGCGCTTCCGATGATAGACGCTTGTTGAGGGCCAGTGGATCCTTTGTAAAAAGTAGAAAACTTATTTATATTACTAAATGTTCGAAGTATTTCCTATCCAAGGAAATTTTCGCTTTCGATTTAAGAGAAGTCTAACAATTTGACGAAACGGAAGGAATTTAATTTATTGATATACATATATAAAATATAAAATATCTGGCTTTTTAAAAATCTTACTAAATTATTTCAAGAGCAGAGGAGAGGAAATTTGTTCATTTAACAAAATGTATCCTATACAGAAATTTAATTTTCTATTATAAAATATATGGCACTTTTAAAAAGCTTACTAAATTATTTCAAGAGTATAGGAAGAATGTAGCTTTATTTTTTTAGCAACACATATAAAATATTTAAAAAAAAAACTGTTTTCTATTCTTATACCCTTTACCAGAAGGGTTAATGGCATACTAGAAGGCAGATAGATATGTCCGTCTAACACGTCTAAAACTTTTGAGCCACAATAGGGAAGAGAAATTTTAGTGTCGCTCTGATTGAAATGTACAACCTGAAGTGTATCTAGAGTCGATTTAAATCAGTTTGCAATCAAAGAGAAATCAACTTGCTTTTCTGGCTTATAAGGGACGAGCTAGTGAATATTTTGTTTTGACTGTACCTTGTTGCCTAGAGAGCCGTCTGGAGTCTTCACCGAGCTGCTGCGCGTTAGTGACCCCGCCTGTTCTATTGGATCGCCCTCCTTGTCAATCTCGCCAGCCTTCAAGATGCGCAGCGACAGGGACATGTACAGTTTGGACTCTGGTCCCGACTTTTGTAGTTGGAACGGTTGCTGGATGACCTCCATGTTGAATTGCTTCAGAAGTGTGCTTAAAGAATAGGCATACTGTCCAATATCGTTGCCAGTTTTCTGGTCATATATTTTAATGTTCAGAGTCTCATTCTCGGGATTCTGGACGAGAAAAGTGAAGCCCTGCTCCCACACCGGCGAATCATCGCGCATTATCATGGCAGTCTGATTCTTCTGTTTGTTCACACTGCACACCAGATAGGGATCCGGCTTGGAGCTGGAACGCGCTTGCTGTGGAACAAAACGTTAACTTCGATTCACGAAAATGTGATGTTTTCTGGGCACCTTCAGGTGGCGTGCCGAGTCGATGAAGACGGTCAGAACGGCAGCGCTCATGCTCGTGACACGCAACAATTTGGTTTCCTGCAGTATCTGGGGCAAGTCGTTCGGATCAGCCGTGAGCTTATACCACTGAAGGCGTACGTGCAATAGACCGTGTTTAGCATCTTCCAGGGTCAGCCACTGTCAAGAGGGTACAGTATTAAGTATAGGCTTAAGTAGGATTTTGTTGCACTACTCACTGTATCAAGGACGCCTTTCTTAACCACATTCGATATATCGATGGAGCATCTGTGCAGTGTGGGGGAAATGAAGAATTTAGTAAAGTTTTCTTAAAGAGTTGGCGGGAATGTGTAAATCATGAAAGAAGCATTAGATTTGTTAGTTGGACTCCCAGCATATGTTAGCTCCAGCTGGTATTTAGGGTTAACGGTATAATCTATATCAGACTAAGTACCATACATATATTCTGTTGGAGAACTTGAGGGGAATTGGTAGCACAACTCATTCCTGTAAGAGGGACCCAGTAGAGAGTTTGTGTGTGTGTTTGTGTTTGTGTGTTTGTGTGTATCTTTCAAATTATTCAAGTTTCCTAACCTGCCGAGCGACTCATCATCCCCAGTGCGATCCCAGTCGTAAAGCTTAAAGACAAGAAGGGTGTGCTGCGAAACATCGACAACAGCCTTCGTACGATTGAGAGGCATGGGCGGCAACAGAGAAGATACATACACATACATATATCATAATGTTAGTTTCAATCAATACGGATCGCATTTGGATCGCATTTGGTTGCATAGCATGCAGCTGTGTGTCGTGTGAGTCTAGTTGAGGAGATCAGATAGCATGCAGCTTTCTTCAGTGGGTGTGTCAGCGTGTTAGTGTGCCAAGTGGGTGGCATGCAGTATTAGTTGTTAAGAGGTGACGTGATCGATATCGATATCAATATTTGTAGCTATCATTATCATTATCATGATCGGTGTCTGGTGTCAGTTTGGAGCGAACTCAACTCAAGTGAAAACTTTTCAAAATAAAACTCAAACGCGATAATCAAACAATACGAAACAGCAATCGCAAATCGAAATACAACCTGCCCAATAGATCATCGCTCTGTACACCTGGCATTGTTTGATCATAGTCCCATAAAGAAAAACCAACATAGTGTTGTGTGGTTGTAAAAATAGACGCCTAGAAAACAACAACAGTGTGAGCACAGTGTAAGTTGAGAAGAGTTGGAAAATAGAGAGAGAGAGAGAGAGAGAGATAACAGTAATTAAAGGTGTAAGGTAGCTGGAATGGCTTTTATTTTTGGCTAAACATGCAAACACGACCATTTGGTTACTCACATACTTAGGCATACATACATATATGTACATTAGGGGGGCTTACCAAAAATATATATATATTCGATCAACAGAAAGAAATCATGAAAACATGCAACCATGTTGTGTTCGCTTACCTGCCCAATTTTTCATCTTTCTTGGAATCATCCGAGTCCTTGATTTCAATATCAACCCATTGACCCATTTCAATATAAACTGGCGCCTATTTATCGGCGTTATTTTTTGTCCACAAACAAAAGGTAATGAATTGTAAACATAAATGAAGAGAAATCAACACAAAATATAAAAATAAAACGCAACTGGCACTACAAATTACAAAAAGATTGCGTTGTGTAGCATGCAGCAAGTTGTCGCTCAACACACTAACTACACTACACTACAAAAAGCAAAAAGAAACGCATTGTGCCTTGGCATGCAAGAATCGCATAATACGCACCTCGCACCAATAATACCATTTCGGATTCACATTGTTGTCAATGATTTGCGTCTTGAACTCCTGGGCGCCCACATTGATGATGGCATAGGGATCGGACTTGCCCTTGCCCAGGACGCCAATGTCCTTCTTCATCAGATCCTTGGCCTCCACAACGTGTATGCGCAACAGGCCCTGCCAAACAGCCGATTTAGAAGTGAGCGAATAAGCCTCGGAATTATTGACAATACACATACCTCCGGTTCGGGCATTTTGAGAGCCACAGCCGAAACCTCATCGCTTAACGAGATGGGCAGCTTGTTTGGCAACACCATCACATTGCCTATTTGTTCCACAATAATGCGTCGGAGCAGATCACTCAGTCCCGGCATGTCCATGAAATCAATAACGCCCACCAAATTGAAGTCGATATTGGGATTGTTTAGGAAGAATATTTGCAGGCCACCAACCAGGGGCATCGAACGTATGAGTGGCTTCATAACCACGCGCACCCATCCATGTATTTGGAAATCCTTGATGCCGCCTTTCATGCCACCCAAGTAAAAGTTGATGTCGCAATCGCTCGCGTAAAACAGATCCAAGTCCATGATAATCTCATTGCGATCCACATTCTTGTCATAGATCTTGACGCCGCCAATACGTGGCGGTATCGTACCCAGTATGATGCGATCAAAACGGAAGCCATTCATTTTATAATTGGAGAGCGCGAGCGCCACATTTGGCTCGATCGTCTCCTTGACTAGGGTGCGGGCAAAGTGATTGGCATTGGGCCACACTTGCTTGAGTATCTGCAAAAAGAAAAGAAGGCGGTTAAAGTAAAGGATATCGATCTTAGGCAGAACAATTACAGGTCTAAGCTAAGGATCCCAATCTTTGTTTACCTGCCTAGTCTACTAGACCTCGGCTAATTAACCTGCCGTTGTTAGCTCACTGTAGGACAGTTTTGGTGCAGGACTCCTCCTTGCTCTCTTCTTTTAGAACGTATTAATTTTTTACTACCTTGCTAATATGCTTTATTTATAATTATAATTTCATCATACAGCATTTAATCATATCCTATCATCTCTATATTATCATCTCCAATCTCTCTTATGCATTTCATTTTCTGTCATCATTTAATCATCTATCATCATCTCCCATCTCTTTAATGCATTTAATCATCTATCATAATGTTTCTCTCATTTCTCGCTCTCTTCACTGAATTTCCCAGATTTGTAAGAATTCCAAGCATTGTTGAAGTTATAGGAAATCTCTATCATCATCTCTCATGTCTGTAAAGAATTTCACTATCTGTTGTCACCTCTCTATCATCATCTCCCAGAATAAATAAAGCATTTCACTATCTGTTATCATCTCTCTATCATCATCTCCCATCCCTCTTATGCATTTCATTTTCTGTCATCACCTTTCTATCATCACCTCTCATCTCTTTAATGCATTTCCCTATCTGTCATCATCTCTAATCTCTCAAATGCATTTCATCATCTCTCTTATGCATTTCATTTTCTGTCATCATCTCCAATCTCTCAAATGCATTTAATCATCTATCATCATCTCTCGCTCTCTTCCCTGAATTTCCCAGATTAATTGTCACATTTGTAAAAATGCCAAGAATCATGGAAGTTATAGGAGTGTCAGAAAAGTCACATAAACTTGATCTGCTTAGGGCTTAAACATAAATTATATTTGATTCAAATTGTAACCCACTGGGGGTTCACACAATACCTACCTTGTTCAGCCACTCACAACGCTCGACATCTGGAAAATAGACCCAGGCTGGCAGCTCATCAATGCGTGCCAGAATCACATCCTTCTCAGAGGCCAGGGCCGAGGCTTTGGCAATGTCGCGCTTCTTGGCCGATGTCTTTGTCAGTTGATCCCGCGCCACCGAGAGTATCACTGGCGCTATAAGCCAGGCTACCGACCAGCCCATATAACCGACCAGATAGATCGAGCCAACGATGGCAATTTTCTTGCCCACTCTATAGATGATTGAGAAAATTCCATCGTCCGCATCGCCAGCCGGCTTGGCCACAGCTGTGTCATTTGTTGTGGGCGTGGCACTCGCAGCTGTTGTGTTGCTGCTCGGAGCAACACTCGTAGCTGTTGTTGCTGTTGTTGTTGTTGGTGTTGTTGCTGCAGCAGGTTCGCTCATGGTTTTCAAGTCAGCCAAAGGCACAAATTTCTCTTCGTCCGCTGGTGGCGGAATCGTGAAATCGGCCAGGGGAGCGCTCGAATCGCTGTTATCGCTGTGGAAGTGAATAATAATTGTTTTAAGATCTGTATTCTAATCTGTATATAGCTATCCATATAGTATATTGTAGGTATGTTATATTATGTGTCAATATTGTAAAAGCCGCAAGCTGATTCATTAGCATGTTTGTCGGCAACTTGCCGCTGATGATGTCATTCTTTTGGGCTCGTTTCTGATTCCATTTCCATTGCTTGAAATGCCCGCACAGGAATTTGTATATATATGTATTATATTTATAACAATAACAAGTATATAAAAACTGGGCTATGTATTTGGTTTGTGGTTGTGTTTTCACTTCAGTTTATTTGGCCGCAATTGCGTTCTTGAAACTCTAACAAGCGCCCGAGCGCACATCTATAAGCATTACTCATACGCCGCGTGGGCCTCACCAGCTTGCACAGCTTATGTGAATTCCAGTGTAGGAATATACGAGTACAAATGTACATACACGTATACTATGCTCGTATATTTGCCAAGCCAGTCACGGCACCTGTTGAGCTGCCGCTCTTCAGAGCTCTGTGGGAGTTTTTTGGGTGGATTTTCAAGTTGTTCCTTTTTTTCATTTACGCGCTTTCCTCGCCTATGAGACACTGCTCAAAAATGCGGCTATTTTTTTGAAGTGTTTTACATGAAAATGTCAACAAAAATAATGAGAAGAAAATAACATTTAATATTTTCTTGAAATATCAAACTTTTAAAACTATTTTTTAAAATTTATAACTGCGGCTGCGTTTTTCTATTCTTTATTAATTTTTATGTCAAATACTAGTACGTTATTCTTCATGAATTCCAAATGTTTTTCTTTAAAGAGATGATGCAATTTCTACGCATTTGACATTTTTTTGTTCCTAGAATTAAGTAACTCAATAATATCTATACATTGATTAAAAACATAGGCCGAACAAATTGTCTGTAATAATTAAACAAATTTGTTTTTTGTTCAACTTTCTTTCAAAATAGTTTTCTTTTGAATTTAATTTAAAATTGTTTTTATTTTTAATATTTAAAATGTTTTTAAATTTTCTTTGACTTATTTCCAGATTTCTAAAAATATTCATTTGTATAAAGTTTTAAAGTTTATTTTTCTCACATAGTAACAGTTTAATTCAAGATTATTTTGAAGAATTTAGATCTATTTTTTTTGTATTAGCAATCATTAAATTGGTTAAATAAACTTGACAATTTATTTATTTCATTTATGAGATCTAATATGGCACTTCAAAGACAAATTTAAAAACAAAGTGGTTCTCTTCTCGATTAAAAAGTGAAATTTGATAAAACATCATCCTTGATGGTATAATTTTTAATATTTTTTGATTGAGTTCTGGTTAAGTTGATTTCATTTTATTTAAATGGATACATTTATAACTTGTACCAGTATTATTTTTAAATTTTTTATAGAGTCTCATCATAATCTAAAGTACTGTCAAAATCGGTAAAACTTTATCATATAGCCGCTTAAGCAATAATCATGCTGTTGCATGAAGAATGGTGTGTAAATTCAAGAATCCCCATCATTGCTCTACAAATTTGTTTTAATTTTTTGTTTAAACTTTAATCAGACTTTTATTTCAGCAGTGTAGCTTTTAAGCTGTTTGTGGCACTTTATTGCAGGCGCCGAGAAAGTTGTTTGTTTCCTGCCTAGATTGCCAGAAGAGCTCTGTGTTTTTTAGCGTATTTTGTTACATACATTTAGTATACCTAAGTGAATCACTTTTGCCACATCCTGATAATTTTAAATTGTTGCTAAACAGCACTTGAGCTTAACAGGTAATTGAGGAAATGAGCTGTGAGGTCTTCGAGGCAGTGCGATGAGTGAATTCTTTGGCAGCTCTCGTAATGGACCAACTTTGCGGCTTACTTTTGAGTTATATCCATGATGCTTTAGCAACTTTAGCTTTTGAGCCAACTCACAAAGTTGGCATGACCCCCATTTGGTCCTAGCAAAAGCTCCAATTACTGCTGTGTACTGCGCGTTATTTATTTGGGTATTTTCGTTACATTTTCAGAGCAACATTCGGACACAACTTAACTTCAATATTGCCCCAAGTGCTGTCATTTGTCAGCAAAAGTTGTTGAGCTTTTAGTGTTATGTACAGTTATGTATGCGGCCACTGCGCCTATAGCTAGACAACATAAATGTGTCGCTACCTGTTGCCTGTTTTCAATATCATGCGCAAAAATAAGCAATCAAGAAATTGATATTTGAATGCGAGCTGGGAAATAAAAGAGCATCGTTGCCTACACTCAGAGATAATAATGAGAGTTCGTCTTAGTATGAAAGGGCAAAAAAAGATCAAATTAAACCTAAAACAGAAATGCTACTGAAGTGTGAGAATTTATGTTGATTCGCAGCTAATTGGCAACTATTGTTTAATTAATAAATTTAGTTAATAGATAAAGTTTATCGTTTTTCAAAAATTAAAACTGAAAATGTTAATATGAAGCGAATATTTTATTTTGTTTTCGTTATTAAGGATTGTTCTATTAGTTGACTACAGAAAATGAATTATATGTATATCTGCTGTGTAGACTGCTAATAAAAAATATACCCTATCTTCATACGCAACTTTAAGCGATTCTTTTTCCCTCCCTATTTTATAGCCCTTAGAGCTGTCGATATTATTTGTTACTTTTTCATTTTGACGCCTATTCGATGTGTTTTTGAAAATTGAACTGAATTCGTAAAACAACTCATTAACACACGTTAAGGCAAATTTTTTCTAAAGCCATTTTAGAGGTACATACATACAAGTTCTTATATATGATCGACATGACGAGATAAACCATAAGGGCTAAGGACTCCACACTCTTCTTACGCAGAGAAAGAACGCCACTCTTCGTCGGATGATATAAAGATTCATCCAAATTGGGTTAAATACTATATCATAAAGCTGCCTTAGATTGGGACAGAAATCAAAATTTGTAACAGCTTTCTTCTTTTTAAAGATGTCTTAAGAAAATGTGGCATTTACTTAGTATTTTTTATATTATTCAACTTCATGATCTTCATGATGTCTGTTAACACATATTGCTTCTTCTACTTAAACCGGTCCATCTAGTCGTGATAAAATTTTAGCGTTATCTCAATAAGGGGGGGCTTCAATAAAGCTTTTTTAGTCGGTTTCTGCTGAAGAAAATGGAACTCATATTACCCAGAAATGCTTATACTTGTAAATGTTGTTTAACATTCTAACAGTTTAATGAGTATGATTCATATAACTAGTTTGTTGCAATTTCGAAATGTTGTTAATATTCAGATCTGATTCAATAAGCATTTCATCCATCAGTACACTTCTTTTCAACAATTGGAGCTTAAGACTGATTTTTGTTTCAGATCTCTCTACACTAGTCAATTGCTTATAATCTGGTAGACTTTTTCTCTGAGTGTCGCCACGCAGCAGGCCCAACTAATTGGCTACGACGCCAAGAGTCGTTTGAGAACTTTGTGCCAAGAACTTGAGCGCGATTCACGTTTTTTTTTTTTTTGTTTTTTTGATACCATATATAAATTGTGTTTTGTTTTTTCTTTGCACGACGACGACAATGATGACGTAGTCGGCTGATTGATGTTGAATGGCATGTATAGTAGATGTTTATTATATAGAATATTTGATGGGTTAGTTGTTGGTCGTGCTAGTTAATAGTGTAATGGTGGGACATAAGTAAATAAATGGTAAATAGTAAATAAAAATTCAATTATTATCACCTCATGGCTGTGTGTGTGTGCGTGTGCAATTATTTCAATGGTTTCTGTTTGTTGTGCCGAGCTGGCTTTTGTGTTCTTGTGCTAGAAGAAGAAAAAGAAAACATGAAAGTAAACAATCAAATAAATATTCAAGTTTTTCGGTTGGGTGTGTGCCTTTACAGATTATTTTCATATCAATGTGTATTGAACACACAAGTATGTAGCACGAGTATGTAAGTACGTTTGCATTTTGGTGTGTCAATAAACAAGACTCTGACCTAGCTGTTAAAGATTTATATTCAGATTCATGTTGAGTGCGTCATGGGAAGCTGTGAGGCATCAACATGTCGGTTTCATTTGAAATCCGATTGCCATTAAAATTATAAATTATTATTAAAAATGTGCTTGCAGTTATGCGGGCAGCTAAGTATAGTGGCTAGGCTCATAATAGCAATGGAAAATTCAAAGTTTCAGGCATGAAATGAGTAGAGAATAGGCAAGATATTATGGAACATTTTATAATTGTGAATATAAGGTGGATTCTTCCACAATTCAACGAAGCCAAAGCAAGAGTTAAAACTGTAGATTTCTTCTGAAAATCGAAACCATCATTTCTATATGTTTTCAAATAGAGAAAGAAAGTACAAGTACAAGTTATTAACCTTTTTCAAAGCTCAAAAGAGAAAAATGAATGGATTCGTAATAGTATCTTCTTCACTCGAAAGTACAAATTTCATTTCATTATCTATTTCTCTTTGGTGGACATTTAAACGAAGAGCTCAACAAATGTGGAGCGATTGAATTAAGCTGTTGATGCAGAGAAATAAACAACTCTGCCTTCGTATTTCAGGAATCGTTGTAGCATGAATGAAGCATTCACATACGAGTATGTTCTGGCAATGCGAGGCCATCAAAACATTCCCAAAGGGGTAATGAAACTGCAGGCAATATGTTTGCCCTTCAACAGGTTGTTTTCAATAATCAAGAGTATGCATTCTTCATATACATAGCCACTTATACTCGTATATAAACATATATGTAGAAGCGTGTAGATATTTTTCACATTAGCTGAACAATTTAGCGTGTGTTTTCAAATTTCACAAATTTTATCTGCTGTAGCAAGAGCTTTACGTGTTCCATTTTTCGTATATTTTTATACACACACATATTGAACCGATTCTTGAATTTCCAGAATTATCATGCACTACTTATTCTTATATGATTTCCGTTTCAATTAAGTTACAGTCTTGAAGACACAGGTTTTTTTTTTCAATAATATGAAATCAAAATGATCAAATCAACACATTATTCGTGCATATATATGCATAGTAATGGAAGTATGTAGAGTATACATATATAGAGAGCGAGAAATGTGGGAGAAAATTTATTATTAAATTTTATTTATACATTTTTTTTGTTTTGCTTGCCAAACAAGTAAACATTTGCGTTCTATGAAACATTTGCTCATCTGGTATGCCAAATGCGTGTTTGAAAACCGGATTCTGATTGTGAATAACAAAAATAAAACAAGCTTGATTATAAAGCCGCAATAAATAGATATACGCACCACAAAAGCGCGGAGTTCTAAGTAAACGCTGCTTTGCTAGATTTAGTTTTAAGTATAGCGCCTTGAATTTTTCAGTTCTTTTTTTTTGTTTTTTTTTTCTTGATAAATTTGAAAAATTGGAACGCGTGCGTTTCACGCGCGACTCTCGGCGTGTTTTCGAGGCAACGGCAACCGAAACTCTGAGCAGCAACGGCACAAAAGCGAAGTACTCGTAGCAAGTGGCAACAGATGCGAGCTCAGAGTGCTTTGAGCGAAAGCTCAAGTTTTGAGTGAAACAGGAGGGCTGAGAGCTTTTGATGCGGCTGCTGTGAGCACAACAGAAACAAAAACGGCCACTGGGTGGGTGTGGGTCGAAGGCAGGCAGGAAAAGTGACAGCGGTTTTGTTTTGTATTTAATCAGCATTTAATTATAAGACCCAGGCAGGCGGGCAGGCAGGCGGGCACTAAGGACTAGGTCAAGTGACAATTGTTTATGAGCTAGGACGTTTCTCTTCTTCTTCTTCTCCTTCCATTCGTCGTTTTCCGTTGGCTTTTAATGCCTGACAGAGATAACTTAATTATGCGTTGGACAGTTTTGGAGGCACTGTAGTGCATGCAGATGGTAATCCCACAGCTTACACGCTCTGCTCTGCTTTTTCATAAATAACAAATGATGGCGGGAATCAAGCCAAGCATATTAACTCGGTCGGCACATGTGAGTGTGTAATAATCATGGTATTATGTATTATAAATGCGCATACGCCGTGTTGTGCAGTGTTATATAAACGCGACGATGGCTGTTCAATTGAAAGGCAAACATCAGAAAAAAGCGCAAATCAAACATATCGTTAAGCCCAACACCGGCACAAACTTTAATTCGTCCTTCAACAAGGCTGTCCTTCAAGGTGACCGTTTTCAGGCACTAACGAAAGGCTTTATTCCTCAATTATTGGTTAATAAATAACTTGGCAAATGGGCCGATAAATGTTATTTTCTTTTACTTTTGAATTGTGTACCATTTTGAAGTTATGGTTTATTTTAAATGCGGTTTTTGAAAAAGTTTCCAATCTGTTGAAATGGACGATTTATACTAAGAATGGTTAGGAAATGAAGCATGATGTCCAGAGCATTAGTAATGTTAAGGACAGTGAAGAAAATTTATGTTTCAGTATACATTTATCTATTGGGGTTGGTGGAAAAGACTATTATAAGTATTTATTTATTTTTTTATTTCATTAACAAGCGTAGCTGTCGATGTAAAAAAAAGAAAAAGCAATACAATAGAGATCTCAAACTAAAATAAACTATAGAAAAGAAAGCGTATACACAATCATACACATCTAATACTGAATCCGATGGGTTTTTTTTCCAAAACTCCGATTCACAGCACATAGTTATCAGAGACGTTATTAGACCTAACAAAAAAGAAATAGAGTTGAAGAAGTAACAATTAACAATCAAAATGAAATTAAATGAAATTAAAATAATAATAAATTGCAATAAAAATACTTACATAGTAGAAGATAATAGAATTATAGAATTATAAAAGTAATAAAATATAATAATATAAGCTAAAAATTGGAGATTCGAACTTATAAAGCAATCCATAAGCTCATAATTATAACTATAATGTGATTAGTCTACATTAAATATTTTTGGGTTAAATTTGAATTTCATTTACTTTGGAATTATACAAATATTTGTGTCAATAGTTAGTTTTTAAGATAATCGAACAAATACTGTCGCATTTAAGTGATACAAATGAAGTATAGAAAGCCTATCTTTGCAAATTGCTCTTTATCTTCGATCTAAATTTGCTTCGGCTTTCCTCTCTCTAAGTATTTAGTTGGCACTACATTTAAGTTAACTTGGCTTTCTCCTAGTGTGTTTGGATGTGCTTTGCTCCGAAATGGTTGCTAAAGGGGTTGGAAAAGGCTGGTCACCCTGCCGCAAACTTGCAACAGTATCCAACCGCCCTTTTTCCACCTGCCTGCTTGTTGGGACATGCGCTTGCACGTTGCGCTAACGGCGGAAATGCCAGCGTCCTGCTGCACAAATGCCTGCTCCTGTGTGAAGCGATGCGTCCTCTGCTCGGCTCATGTAAATTTCATATTTATAAAGTATAGTATTTGTTCAATCAGAAGACAGGAAGTGGCAGGCACTTCAAGAGTAAGCGAAGACATAAAATACATGTGTGCGCGACTTAATTGCTTTATAAATATTTAATTTAAATTGTCTTTAGCGTGCTTGCGTGTTTATACTTTGATTCATGTAATGGCACTTGTACACGCGGCGTATGCGTAATGTTTATACCGCTTATACGAGCATGGGGCTTCGATGCGTGTCAGCTCCAAAGTAAGACAGGTAGGTCTCATAGAGAAAAGTGAAGTACAAGTGAAGAATGAAATATATATCATCAAACACTAGCAAACGTCACAAATCATGAAATCAAACGAGTCGTGAGTAAGCAGCTCGTAGCTACAGGTCTTCAAATTCAATTGAGGCCACGGCATCGGCAATGCCTTGACTTTATTGAACCGACAACAATGTCAATAAGCAGTCAGTATAGTCCATGCCCATGAGCATCTTTGTCTGCTCTTGCTGCTGTTGTTGTTTTTGTTGTTGTTCATGCGCCACTGGAAAACAAATTACATCACATTGCCTCTGATTTATGGGCGTTGTGGGCCAAGTCGGCAGGTAAATGTTGAAAGGAAAACTTACAGGCTTTGTCTAACTAACAAAGAAATTTAAAGCAACAATAGAAAACGTGTTGAAAGCGTGCTGAATGGGGAAATCGACTAAAGAACGACCAACTTGGTTTGTTGAAAAGCACGAGTAAGCTCAGATTTATTTGATGATAACTAAGTTGGCAAACGGATGCACAAGTCCCTGAGCATTATTATGAACATTTTTATAGCCCCTCTACTTAGAACTCTCACTTTCTTGTGATATTTGATAGAATGGATTGCTTAAAGATTTGTAAAAACACTTTTTTTTTGAAGAGAATGGCATTAGCTTTCATCTTCCACTTACTCCTTTGAGTTCAGACTTGTGCGGAATAACATAAATCAGATATGGATAGAAAGAAAGAGAAAGAAAGCTGGAAGCTGGTTTTTGGCATTTGCTATGGTGCTAGAGCAAGCTGTGTTTCAGGAGGGTCTATCGCGAAATTGGTTTGCTGCATCAATCAAGAAGTTTTTTCTTCAATCATACAAACTACTTGCTTACTAATTGATTGAATTGAGTAGAAAATCTTTTTATTATTGCCAAATATAAATCACATTTCAAAACCTCATATAGTCCTCAAAAGCGGAATTTTCATAACAAAAAACAGAACAGAAAAGTGGGAGAGTTTTGCAAATCGATTAATATTAACGCAATGATATCGATAAGAGTAGGGTTGCACTGGCCCGGATTTATTAACAGCGTGGAAACACTTGTGTGTTTCCTAATGGAGAAAAAAATGTTAAGATGAACGTCTTACCTAATTTTGCCGAGCAGCTTGCTTGATTTAACAAAGAATGCTTGACTTCAGCAAAATACTGATTTGGTTCGATTGGCTTTACCAGAAAACATCTTCAGTGTTGTAAAGATCGAAATACCAATTTATACTAATGTTATCGATTAAGTCATATGAAATATTTTGTTATTGTATTGTAATCGAATTATGGTCACACAGTGTCATGAAGAAGCTGGTCGTCGACAAAACACGAAATTGAAACTCGCGGAAACTCTCCGAAACCTACTGAAATTTATCTGAATTTAATTTAAAACGTCAAGTGTCTTTTCATTAAATTTTAGGGCCCAGCGTTCATACTGGTCCTTACATCTTTCAATTTCGTTTGTTGTTGAGCGTGTTTTCAATTTAAAGTCGACGATCAGTGGAATATATAGTGTGGAATCGAAGTGTTATGCAGATGTCAACTGGTATACACGAGCCAAGATTCACACGAAAATTTACGTACATATCGCCAAATGTACAGTGACCCTGAAATCTAGTCGAGACGCCGAGTTAAGTGACGCCGGTAACGGTAAAATCGTACGGTATCTGCCACATACCTAAAATATGTGCATGTATGCATGTATGTAGAAAAATACCGAGTGATATGTGTGAGTGACAAATACATAAAGACAAAGTTGTTAGACTTAAATTCTGAGGTACCGAACTAAATCACTAATAGTGAATAAGGCAAATAAAATTCTCCAGGGTTGCCGGTGTGTAATATTAGTGAACTGTGACTTTGTAGTACTGATGAACCGATATAATTTGCGAAATAAGCCAAACAAAATGAGTTCAAGTGAAGACGATATTTTAGACGCTACAATGCGTGACAACTCTAATGTGAAAGAAGACAATGAAAAGCCTTCAACAAGTAAGGCAGTGGTCCAAAAGAGAGACGAAATAAGTGACGATCTTGCAGCTGTTATAGTTAGCCTGAAGGAGCTAACTACGATGGTAAAACAAGGTCAACAAGACATTGTGAACATGAACCACCGATTCACAGAGAACCGTTTAGAAGATAAACAAAAGAACTTGACACCGCTAAGTATCAACCAATTTAATCCAGAATGTGTAAATGTTGGGAGTAATAGTGCTAATCCTAATCTTTCAGTCTCCCATACAGTGACAAACACAACAGCGATGCCTGCAGTATCTACAGTCAAAATATATGATTTACCGATGTTTTCTGGTTCCGCTGAACAATGGCCGTTGTTCATAGCCAACTTTAACGACACAACAGAGGAATTCAATTACACCAATCGACAAAATTTGATCCGACTTCAGAAATGCCTTATCGGCGAAGCAAAAGAAACAGTAGCAGCCATGCTAATATATCCCGACGATGTGCCAACTGTCATTGAAGAGCTTAAATTTCGATTTGGACGCCCGGAAATACTTGTTAGATCCCAGATCGCCATGATAAGGGAGTTCCCAAAAATCTCCATTAATAAATTGGATCAAGTAATAGTCTTGTCTACAAAGGTACGTGGGGTCGTTGCCTTTTTGTCATCTGCCAATTGTACTAAGCACTTGGAAAATCCAATACTACTGGACGAGCTGATCAGCAAGCTCCCAATGGATGCTCAAATAGATTGGATACGACATGCGGATTCGTTGTCTGTAAATCCTTCAGTTGCGGAGTTT